TGTCAGATCCCACCATGAGCCTGCCCAGGCCATGGTGTGCAGCCAATCCCAAATCCCTCTGCTCTCATTCCCACTTCTCCCAAAGGCTGGGCACAGATCCAGCACCTGGCTCAGGTTTCCCTCTGCTCCTCACGTCCAGGTGCCCACGGAGGTGACAGATCCCAGTGACAGTGACAGAGGACCTGGCATTAACTGACCTGGTCCAGGTGTTTTCATTGGGTCTCACATTAATGGAGAGGAAACAATGAACTCCTCTCCACCCAGGGACAGCTGTTCCATAAAAGCCATCCAAGAGCAGAAATCTGATTTTAACCTTTCCTCCCCGTTATTTCTGTGGGAGCACGGGGCTGGGAATCACTGGAATTAATTATGTGCTACACACCCCACTAATTGTGTTTAATGAGGGGAGCAGTGGAGAGAGGCTGGAGCAGCTCAGGGAGGGATGTGGGATCCAGGGAATGGGGATGGCCACGGCACAAGGAACCACGTGGGGGCCAAGGGGATTTATTTTCCCTTCTGGGAGAAGGAGAGTGAAGCCAGGAGCCTTTGCTGTTCCTTGGCCATTAAATTGGGAACTTGTGGATAAAGCCTGGACTGTATCCATGGTACTCTTCCCCTGGCAGCTCCCTGGGCTGCCACAGTTCCCTCTGCAGGACTGACCCAGCCCAAAGAAATGCTGTTTGTTTTTCTCTCCCTGTGCAGAATGAACAAGCACTTCTTTTTCCAGTTTAATGAGGGTTTCTCATTAAAGAATTCCCCTCCCAGCATGTTTGTTTTTCCAGCATGCACAACCTGAGTATAACAGAACAATCCACTCTCAGCTGCTGGGCTGATGGAACAATGAGAACTTTTCCTGCTCAAAATGACTGGAAGAAAAATGTGAAAGCTTTTAATTTTTACTTTCCCCCCCTTGAGGAGGGTAGGAAAGCCTTGGGAATGGTGAAAAGGAAGGCACTGGAGCAGTGGGATCAGTGCTGGAGCTGAGGTAACCAGCAGAAAGATGAGTTTATCCCACTGCCTCTCTGGGTTAGGAATAATCCCTTTGGAGTTTATTAAAGTGAAATTATCAGGAGCTTTTTTTACTTTTAAGTGATGCTAAAGCAGCAAACCTGCAAACCCAGATGAGGATTTAATTCCACTGCCCCAAGTTGTTCCCGCTGATGACACCACTCCTCACACACCCAACCCAGCAGAAATCCTTCGTGGGAATGAAATGGGATGTGGACACTGCAGTGGCAAAGAGATTTTGTCACAGAGCTGCTTCCACTGCCTGCATCTCCCCAAAGGGATGAACTGGAGGAGCAGCTTTATTTCCCAGAGGTGTCAGGACAAGGACGTGGAATGGGCACGGAGAGGCTTTTATAAACCACAGGATGTGCTCCCTCCTGGGCAGTCTCACTCTGCTTTTTATTTTTAAACACCAAATAAATACAAAACAATCCAATAAAAAATGAACAGCAGTAAATCTGAGAAATGGGTCACCTTTGAAAGCAATACTATTGACTCAGGGGAGGCCCCAAATATTTGATTTGGGGAGGGAAAAGCCTCCCCAGGTCTGCAGTACAGATGGTTTTGGATAAATGACTCAGAATTCCATCCAGGATTTGAGATGGAGGGGACTGCAAGGAAAGTTTTTGGCAGGTATAAACAAGAGGCACTTAAATATTGAAAGGTTTTTTACGAGCATCAGGAATTTTCCTACTTTATGGACTTCCCTAAGTGTCTTCCTGAGGTGTTTCCTCCAGTGCTGATGGAGGAACCCAGGAGGAACCAGCTTCAGTGAAGGGCCTGGAGCTCCCTGGACAGATCTGCATGGAACAGGTGAGGCTGCAGCATCAATAAACACTTGAGTTCCTAAAGCATAAAGCTTCTCCAAAGTGCCTCTGCTTGTGCAGGGAATGGCCAGGCTCTTCCCACTCTTCTCCATGTCCACCAGGTCTCCTTTTTCCATTTTTATTTGTGAATCTTTGCCTCAGCAGCTCTCCCCTCCTCATGCCAGTGAAGGACACGTGAGCAGCACACAGGGAGGAGAGGCAGGGGATGGGATCTGGGGATGGGGAAGAAGCAGTGGGAGGAAAAAGGCCATTGTCTCAATATCCCTGCAGAGTTCTGTCAGTGAAGGACTGGGCCAGAGACTGCTGAGGGACACAGGGGAGCAGCAGTTTGCCCTGATGTTGCAAATAAACACTCCAGTTATTTACTCTGCAGCTCCTATCTCCTGTAAGATTCCCAGCTCCCAATTTTACACAACAGGAATCCCCTGCAAAGTGTTCCAAAACAGGTGAAAAATAAGATTTAAAAAATAGATATTAAAAATACTCCCTTGCTCCTCCATGAAGGGGAAGGTGGTTTCTGGTCTCTCTGAATCACAGAATTCTCTCTCTCTCTCTTTGGACAGCTCCAAGTTCTGCTGCTCCAGGCTCTCTCCTTGCAGAGCCTCCTAATGTCCATCAGCTAAAATTTCTGCAGGAATTTGAGCACCAGGTCCCGCAGTTTGACCCTCAGGGGCTCGTCATTGTCACAGATGATGTGGGTGGAGTCCTCCTCCAGCTGGATCAGGGTCTCTGCCTCCTGCAGCAGCACGATGTGGCCCTTGGCCGTGTCCTCCACCTTCACGTCGCTGAAGCCGTGCTGGATTTGGGGTGGGAGAGGGAAGGAAATCAGCACAGCTCAGGAAAACTGGGAGAGAAGAGACCAGGGCACAGGGGCGAGGGGAATTTAATGGAGTCACAGATTGGTTTGGCTGGGAAGGGACCTTAAATCTCATCCAGTGCCACCCCCTGACATGGCAGGGACACCTTCCACGATCCCAGGGTGCTCCAAGCCCTGTCCAGCCTGGCCTTGGACATGCCAGGGAAGAATTCCTTCTCAATATTCCATCTAACTGTGCCCTCTGGCAGTGGGAAGCCATTCCCTGTGTCCTGTCCCTCCATCCCTTGTCCCAAGTCCCTCTCCAGCTCTCCTGGAGCCCCTTCAGGCACTGGAAGTCTGCAGTCCTTTATTTCCTGCACGTGAGAACAAGACTCCACAGAGCAGGAACCAAATTTGTGCAGCTTCCTCAGGAGGTTCCTCTACCAGTGGAGACATTTCCAGGATCTGTTCTTCACTTGGCCACCTTCTTACAGGTCTTGTGGAAATTTAAATGCTTTTGAGACTCCCTCAGCTGCTGAATCCAAAAATTCTGTGAGTAAAATCAGCCACCCAAAAGCTCTGCTTCCATGGGAAACAGGAGGAGATCACTGGCAGGAACCCTGCACAGCAGGACAAGGCTCCACAGGGAACCATTCCCTCTGTTCTGAAGTGCAGGGACACCCTGGAGCAGTTGGCAACTCACTGGCCTTTCTCCATTTCAAGCTACATTAAAATGATTTCCCCTCTCTCTGCTACAAAAGCAGCACATCTGAGATGTGCAGAAATCTGCTGGAATCCCACCTTGCCACCCAAGACTCCTCACCTTCTCCAGAGTCTGCACAAACTGGTCCATGGGGATGGAGCCACTCAGCAGCGGCTTCAAAGATTTGCCCTCGGGCACATCATCACTCACCCGCTTCCTCTTCTTGCTGGCAGGAGGTTGGGGAGGTTTTGGAGGGAGCTGATGGATGAGAAGGAAAAAAAAAAAAAATCCTACTCTAAAGGATGCAACAGGTTGGGAAACAAGCAAATTTAGAGTGAGCAACTAGTCAGGGAATGAGAATGTGGCTAAGCTCCAGCCATTTATGAGGACTCTGGCATTTTAAGCCCAGGTCTGAGTTTATTTGGCAGCAGGAATGAGTGGAGAAGGGAGTAAATGAACAAGAGCAGCCTGAGAGCAATTCCACTGCAGCACTTCAATGTTTCCAGCACTGCTCAGCGTTTCCAGGGAAGCAGCTCGGGGAGAGGAGGGCAGCCTGTCTGCCGTGCTCTGACAGAACTCCTCACCATTCACATCCCTGAATTTTCACATCCCTGAATCTCCACACTGGGCTCTCTCCCCAGGTGCCCTGGGCCCAGCCAGCTCTGCTGCCCAGTGTGGGAAGGGTTGTTCAGTGAGGCCCTGCAGGCTGGTGGATCTGAGAAGAAAGGGGACCAGGGCAGCCACTGCTGAGCAGGTCCCTGGACATCACCTCCTCCTGCAGAGCACTCATGCCAGGAATTCCAGTGCCAGCCTGAGGGGGGTGGCAGGAAGGGAGAGCAGAGGTGTACAACCTCCAGGGAAACTGAAGGCAGATGGTCCCAGGTCATCCCTCCCCTCTAACCCTTGGTCCCAAGAGGTTGGCTGATGCTGTTCCTGACTGTGGAAGGCAGCAGGGTGATCTGCAGCCTCTCTTCAGGAATTATCTCACCTCCCCATTCATCTCAGCCAGGCACACGGCCAAGGAAAAGAGGGCAGAGAGGTTTATTTGCATCCCACTCCCTGCTCCAGGTGTAATTCCTCACCTGCACATGCCAGGGCAAAGGCTCTGCCCAGGGCTCTGCCCTGGTGGAAGGAGCTGCAGGAGGGGCTGCTGGGGTCCTGGATGGCAGGAAAAGCCAGAGCAAGGATATTTTTCTCACTTTCCCATTAGACTGTACCTGCAGCACGTGCTTGTTGTCCTTAGTATGCAGCACGGCAGAAACTGTTGCCAAGGAAATACCAGGCTTGATCTCCAAGGGCACGAGGGAATCTGCAAGCTGAAGCAAAAGGAGATTTTGTTCAGCAAGTGATCAGCTCAAAACGTGCATGAACCCAGCTGTGAGATAAATTGGCAGTGTGGTATTTTTAAACATGGGCTAATGAACTGTAAACACAAAGCCACTGAGATAGACTGCGAGCTCCTCCGACCTGCCCAGCCTCCTTCCAGCTCCCAAAATTATGGATTTCACACCATGAACAGAGCAGCACAAGGTTTGCAGGAACCAGGGCTGATCTCAAAAACCATAATAAACACAGAGAACCCTTGTGTGAAAAGACAATTGCTTCATGAATAATTTTAGTCAGTAAAACTCGTGGTCTAATCCAGCATTATTATGCTTGTTATGCTGATGGACAATGAAAAATCAAAGTGAGTTTCCTTTCAGTCCTTGACTGCAGAATATCTGAAATAAGAAGTGTTTATCCTTAAAATCCCAATGTTTTCAATCAACCCACTGTTGATTAGTTTGAAATTATTCCAACAATGCTGCACAAAACCCTTTCCACTGCCTTTTATATAATTCTTCCCTGAAAGACATAAAATTTAGTCTTGGCTTGGAGTTTGGATCTAACACTGCTGGCAGAGCCCGGGGTGGGCAGTGCTGCACCTGCTGAGACCAGTGGAAGTTGGCCACTTGGGAAGTACCTCTTCCAGCCACTTTTCCAAAGAAATTCTGCAGAAAACAGTGCTCATGAATGGAGAAAATGATTCCCTTTTTCCTCTCCAAGGGAATTCAAGGTGCCAGGATGCCCAATCCTTTTGCCATGAAAGCACTGAGAGGGTTTTTCTGTTGGCTTTGATGGTGGCAAAGTTCTTTTAATAAGTTCTGCAAATCTCACTTGCCACTGTTAATGATGCAGGAACATTTTTAGAGTAGCTCTTTGGAATAAAGCAGTTGGAAAAACACAGGCTGCATTAAAAATCCCTACATTCTGTCTGTATTCAGCAGTGGTGAATCCTAGAAATCCAAACTTGATGGAGTAATTCAGCTCACTGTTACTCTGGGACTCTGTTCAAGATCTTTAAAGCAAGCAGTTTGAATACAGCCTTTATGGTTTGCTGTCGAAGGCAAAGAGAATGAAAATATAGTGACAATCATTGCTTCAGATTTCTCCTGGGATCTAAAACCAGCAGCACTTGCAGCAGTGAGTTCTGCTGCCTTCCCAGTGGTCGAAGGCACTTTCCATTCCAGCCACCTTCCTGAGGAGGATCGATACAAAACAGGCTCTGATGGAGAGCAAAATGACAAATCCTGTGAAGAGAAAGATTCTTTAAGAACAGGGAGTGGCTTGGAACCAAAGTCTTCTCCTGCCACGGAAGTATTTTGCTATTAACATTTCTGCAGGTTTTAAACAGGCTAAATAGCAACACTTGGATTACTCACAGTCAGAAGGACAGTAGGACAGGCATTCACTTTGATTTCCTCCCCAGCTCACAGCCCTCTCCATGTGGCAGCCAATCCTTTTATTATAGAAACTCAGTGACCCAAATCACAGAGGTCATTTAATCACATCCAGTAATTCACCCACCAAGGCCAGGCAGCACTGCTCCACTCCTTTCAACTGACCTCCTGCACACACAAATCACAGAACTCCTCCAAAACGTTGGATTAAAGAAACCTTTTTTCACAGAGACAGCAAGTCTTGTCTGAACTCCAAGCTATGGCAACTCCACTGTTTCCCCTCACAAGTGGTTTCAAACTTTAATTCTCCTGGCAGCCAGGAAGCCGTGTCTCATTTCAAGGTTGAATTTGTCCAACTTGCAGCGGCTGGCTCTTGTTGTGCCTTTGTGTGTGAGATTGAAAAGCCCCCCACCACGCAGGAATAAATGAGTCTTCCTTCCAGTCATTATCCCAAGCCCAGTGTCACATGCTGGCACCAGGAAAGCCACCAAAGCAGGGACACTGAGATCTAACACCACATTAATCAGTCCCCTGCCCATGGATGAACACTTGGACTGCCTTGGGATAAATCTGGGGGGGGATATGTGCAGTATTTCAGTTTTTAGCTTGGGATGTTCTCCTCCTGTGATCAGAGCTGTCTGCCCACGCTAAACCAGAGGAAAGGTATTTTTACCATTAAGTCTTTCCCGTAGAGTTGCATTTACCACCCCAAAAGAGGATTTGACACACACTCTGTGAGCACAAACACTGCTGTTGGCCAAACTACAGATGCTGATAAAGAACAGTGTGGGTTAAGTTATTCTTAAAACTCTCCTAGGACTTCAATGGGGACAATTCTCCCCAGGTTTAAGTTGTCTTCAGGCACCAGCCAAAAATCCTCTTGTTGGCAATGAGGGGCTGAACAACCCCTGAGGATAGGACATGAAACTTCACAGTAAAAATAAAATGAGGCTGAAAAATCAGTAAATAAAATCAGGGCAGGACCACACTTTCAGCACACCTTGGTCCTCTGGAGGATTCTCCCAGGGAGAGACATCCTGGATGTACAACAGTATTTTAACATCCCAGTTCCAGCAATTTCTTCTTAGATTTTTGAGACACCTCCCCAAACTCCTCTCTTTTCCCTTTTCAACTCTGGCTTAGGGTGCAGGAAGGCTGACCCAGCAGGGAGAGGGAAAGTTTGGGCTGAATGAGGTGAGCTGGATATGGAGAACAAGCAGGAGCACAGCAAAGTGACCAGCAGTTAAAATGCCCTGAAACTGCAGGATCTGAAATCACTGATGTGTACATCAGATTACAGCATGTGTATTCAGAAAGGGGCCCTGCCGGGTTTTGACATCATTAAATGTGTTTTCCAGATTTTCAAAGTGCATCAATGTGGGATCTCTGCATTAGAGGTGGGATCAAACCGGAGAAGCAGATGGGAAACCCCAGCCTGTGGATTTCTCTGGCAGTCCTGAGGTGGGGAAAGCACTGGTTAAAGAGATTCCCAAGCAGCTCCTGGGTTCCTGCTGCCATTCCTGAAGGGCCATTCTTGAGCCTACTCCCAGTTTCCATTGATGACCTCAGGACAGAACAAGGAGGAGTGCTCAGAAAGGTCCCTCTGAAGTTTGTAGGGCACCTTTAACAGGAAACAGGACCAGGCTATGAGTGAGGAAAAACTCAAAGACCAAGAATTGGAGTGAGAAAATCAAGATGAAATTCAATAGCACAAAATGAAGGCCAAGGATGGGGCTAATATTGAGAATTTCTGCTGTGGGCTGGCAGCTGCTGCAGAAGACAGAGGTGAAGGGTTCAGGTTTATTAATCCATCCCAGGAGAGTCACAAATGTGACATGGCCATGAAAAAACTAAATGTGAGCCCAGAAAGTATCAGGTAATTCTTTCCGAGATGGGCTATCACTCTTTACACAGGGCCTGGCAAGATTTCATCTGAATTACTTGTAAATTATGGGTAATTTCAGTTCAAGTAAGAGATTCTGAAGGGTAGAATAGGGCAGGAGGAGCTGTCTTGTAAGGGGAAACTAAATATCTTGGCTAGTTTAGCCTGGCAGAAAAGAAAGCCAAAGGGAGAATTTGATTATTCTACATAAACACCACAGGGAAAATGCCAACAAAAGGGAAAATGTATTTATGCTCAAACATGATGTTAGGAATAAATGTGTGCAGGCCAGCAGTGAGTATGTGTAGGCTGGAAATTAGGATGTTTTTGACCATCAGAGACAGTGGGGGCTTGAACAGCATCTATTGGGAACAGCAGGGGCAAAAGTCTCTGCAATTGGAAATTTTACATTACTTGGAGGCACATTACAAACACTTTTGGTAACTGCAGCTGGGTTCTGGCCACGTAAGCTCTGAGGGTGTTTCCATTTCTAGGTGGGAATGATGGAATACAGCCTTGGAGCTTGCTGGGTATGAAGCAATTCCCACCCAGATACCAGCCCCTAAATAGGATGGAATTTGTATGGGACAAAAAAATCCCCTGGCAATTATTAGAGAAACCTAAGGATTTTAAGATCTGCCTGAGTTCAGAGAAAGCCCTGGAGATCACACCTGCAGAGGCTTTTACAGTAACTACTCCTCAGCAAAACCTGAATGGAGAACCTGCCTCATCCTCCTCCCTCCACTCCCCTGCTCCTCACACACACCAAATCCAGTTTCTGGTGCAGGAAATCATCTTTACTGAGACAAAAATTGTTTCTAGGCTGTGCAGCAGCCTTTTCACAAGCAGGGAGGATCTGTAGAGTCAGTAGTGAAAGCAGAATTAAAACCATGGAATTTGTCATGTCACTTAAATTTGGATGGTGGTGTCAGGAGAGAAGGATAACTTCCCTCACCTCTTACTTCCTTGCCTCTCTTATCCCTTATTTTTAAAGTAATTTAGTTAGTAATTAATTAATTCTTGAAGCACCAGGAGCTCCGATGGCCAGGATCTTGTAACCAGACACAGGAGGAGTCTCCAACAGATCCAGCCTTGGTTTTACAGCCCCTGCTAAACCAGGGGCCAAGAGCAGGAATTCTGCCACTGTCAGATCCTTCAGAGGGACAAAAAAATGTGGGGTCAAACACATGGGGTGAAAGGGGAAATGAAATGTGCCTGTGGATTCGTGACCAGCAGGCACAGGGAACAAGGCACAGGCACACTGCAGGCAGGATGGAAATTGGGGAATTTTGCTACTGAGACCTAAAGGAACAAAGCCTTTTCCACCAGAGAACATCCCAGAAATGAAGGACATCTGTGCAATCATTAGTGGGTGATCTGAGTCAGGTCTTGTTGGGCTTTCAGCCTCACATTTGACACAATCCAAGGGTTTTCATTCAGCTGCTGAGTTAACCCCAACTTCACAGAGCTGCCACTCGCTGGGGGTCTCCCACAGCTCTCTCTGGAGCAGATTTTAACATCTCATTAACTTCAGTGGACAAAGAATCCTACCATGAATACCTAAAGATTTAGCTATTATCACCTGCAAAAGCCCAGATCTTGTCTTTGGGCTTCCACAGAGCCAGCATCCAGTGAAGAAATAAAAAAGCACAAGGTAGTCTGCAGTTTTGAGCAATGAATTAAAGCTTTTCTTTTCCATGGGCATGTTCCACCA